GAACAAAGTATATCAAGGGATTAAAAACACACAATCTTTTCATAAAAAGTAGTTCTAGGCAAGGCCAGATTAACGCTTCTAGTGGTCTGTTGAGGCTAGAAGATTTTGGGGAGGGCCTAGGCTAGGACATGGGGTGAAAAATGAGGGGTTCAATCTGTGGGAGGGGTTGCCAGGGAGCAGGCTGGGGGTAGGCACGTGAGATCAGGATGGGAGGTAGGGGTCTGTGCAGGAGGTGGGGTACAGGAGTGGGTAGGGTTGTGGGGTCTGGGTAGGAGGTAGGATGCAGTAACAGAGAGATGGTTTCAGGTGTGGGAGGAGTGGGCAGGGGATTTAAGCACTTACCTGGCACAGCTCCCAGGGGAACAGGTAGTTCTGTGCTGCCCTGCAGTTTCAGGCACAGGGGATTTAAGCACTTACCTGGCACAGCTCCCAGGGGAACAGGTGGTTCTGTGCTGCCCTGCACTTTCAGGCACCTCCCCTTGCTGCTCCCATTGGCCGCAATTTCCAGCTACAGGAGCGATGAGGAAAAAGCCTACAGATGAGAGCAGGGACAGAGAGCTTCCCTGTGCTCACAGCAATGTGGCTCCAGTCTGGGGAGAGAGGGAAGACCTTTCAAGGTCCCTTCCAGTTCTAGGAGATAGGCAATCTCCATTAATTTAAAAAAAAAAAAACCAGCAGTGCAGAGAACCACCTCTACCCCATGCCCAGTAGAGCCAGCCGGGAATGCAGCACACAGGGCAGAACCCTTAGCCTAGGGCCCTAGATTGTAGCCCTTAAAGCCCCTTTATATTCTGACAGTCTCCCCTTCTGCAATCTCCATTAATTAAAAAAAAAAAACAGCAGCACAGAGAACCACCTCTACCCCCCATGCCCAGTAGAGCCAGCTGGGAATGCAGCACGCAGGGCTTAGTGACTGCATCCTGAGGCTATGGGCAGAACCCCTTAGCCTAGGGCCCTAGACTGTAGCCCTTAAAGCCTCTTTATATTCTGACAGTCTCCCCTTCCCACCCCCAATAAATTCCTTGCTATAATAACCTTTATCAGCACCCGGATCCATTTATGTTGTTATCTCTCTCTATGTCCTACTTTTCTCCAATTGCCCATCAATGTCTGAACCTCTTCCCCCCAACCCTGTGTATTGTGCAAGATTGGCTGACTACTCCCAGATAATTATATACACCTCTGCCACTCCAGCCCTCATACTACTTCATGTGTATTACTTGAAAAGAGTAAGTGTCTCCCTATCATACACCATGGTAAAGACCACTACAGACCTAGGTCTCAGGAACATCCAGGGACCTTGTTTTACAGTTGAAAAAAGTTTGTCCTCCTAGACTGTGTCTACACTGGTGCGATCTTGTGCAAAAGCGACCACTCTTGCGCAAAAACTTGCTGCCTGGCTACACTGGCCGCGTGTTCTTGCGCAAGTAAACTGACTTTGTACTGTAGAAAATCAAGGCTTCTTGCATGAGAACTCTGATGTTCCCTCTCAGGAATAAGCCCACTTGCACAAGAGCTCTTCCAGAAGAGGCCAGTGTAGACAGGCAACATGAATTTCTTGCGCAAGAAAGCCCTATGGTTAAAATGGCCATCAGAGCTTTCTTGCACAAGAGAGCGTCTACACTTGCATGGATGCTCTTGCGCAAAAGCACATGCCAGTGTAGATGCTCTCTTCTGGAAGAGTCAGTTCATAATGTCTAAAGCCCTTTGGCAGGTATCAGACTTCATCATATCGCTAATTCATGCTAGGGAATGTATCTGTATAACTATATCAGTTACAGTCACAGCCCTACCTAACATCAGTTTATAAACATTATATTAATATACCAGGCCTTAAAAGTAATCCCTCCTATTTAATTCCTGCATCGTACTTGACAGAGTTTATGCTCCTATCCAGGGCTCAGATTAAATTAGTAGGCAGTGGTCCAGGACACTAGCCCCTCTGTGAAGGTGCTCTCTTGCTTGCTACAAACTGTTTGTTTTCATTTTTTGAAATAAATCTTGAATTTAGGCCAGTCCTACAATTAGAACCTATTTGATATAGTAATAGCAGTGGTCCCCAACGTTTTGGGGCTGCCGGGCGCCTGGGGGCAGGGCCGCTCACGCGCTGCGCGTACAGGGGCGGGGCCGCTCACAGGCCACGTGACTGGGGGGGTGGGCGAG